TATTTTTCTTTTTTTCTGACAACAACAGACAAATAATTAAACATTTAACAGGGAAACAGGAGAGACGACTCACTGATAATGATAATTTCTTCATTAGGTCCATCCCCTAATTCAAATAAAGAAAGCAAAGCCTATCAAGGAAAGCTTAACTTTAGATAAGCTGAAGAGTAAAGGGTGCATCATTGTGAACGCTTACTACTACAGTTTGAAGGCGGAGGAAACTTGCAATCACCTTCTACTATGGTGTCTTTTTGCATACAGATTGTGGACTTTTGTGTATGATATTTTGGGCATTGATTGAGTCATTACTAGGTCAGTGAGGAGAGAGATTTGGGCTTGGGATGGTCTAATGTTAAAAAGAATTTAGCTAATGTGATCCCTTTAACGGTTTTTTGAGTTATTTGGAAAGAAAGGAATAGTAGAGCTTTTGAGTGCGAGAAAAGTAGTTTTTCTAGGTTTAAAGGTAGATGACTGAATTTTTTTGAATCTATTTTATTAGGTCACAACATTATTAGTGATGAGAATTTTGAAATTGTTGTTGAGACGCTAACTTTATTGTAAATCTTTTGTACATGGATGGTACCCCCGTTTTATTGGTACGATGTTAATATACAGCTTACTTTTTATTTTTTTTTAAAAAAAGAAAGCAATGAGCCATAATAACAAAAACAAACAACAAATCAAAATACTAAATTCCCATAAACAAAAAATTGCATAAGAATAAAATTTCCTGTTCATCCGTACGGTCCAAATTTCAGAACCAGATTGTAAACCAAAGAACTTTGAGATATGCTTGATCTTGGCCAAAAGACTGAGAAATGTATAAGTTACATAAACAGCAGTTCCCATTGTGTCTATATTATCAAGCAAATAGCAATAAAAGGTTGAGTTAAGCTGATAGTGATTTTCACTTTGTTTGGCAGTAGAAACAGAGTCAAAAAATGGTAAGGCTATCAAGTAGTGTTTCGGATGGTACACTGAAATTCTATCAGCTTAGTTATTGCCTTTTCTAATTTCTTCATTCACTGGGAAATAGTAATATTCAGGTGGGCCATGAGTAAAGTTTTTTGAATCTGGTAATGCAAGCATCGAACTTTTGATTAAAGATTTGTTAAGATTTGGAGATAGAAAGAAAGATATATGAACTCTATCTTATATCCAAAAAGAATAAAATAACCTTTGTAAACTTCATTTTGCTTTTACCTTGTCAAGGATGTGAAAAAAAACAGTTGATTTTGGATGCTCCTACTTGTTTCACTTTAACAGTTAACATCTCTCAAACATGATTAATAAGAACAAACAAGACTGAACCTACCGGTTACTTCCTTTCCATTCGAAATGGGTGAAGATTTTGTCCTTAGTTCAATCCTTGTGTATGTTTGAAGGGGTTTGACCACTTAGTTAAAATACAAAAACATGATTAATAGAAAACAGTAAACCTACCCATACACTGTTTGAGGAAAAACAGTCATAACTACCACGTCTGGTTAAATAACATACCAATTTGATACAATATAAATATACAAGGGCTAATTATTTCAACATGAGGGTTTTATGATAATTACTGCAATTCTGATTTCTTCAGAATATTCCTTCATTCTGTCTTTTGCAAACTAACATGCACAATGTGTTTTCTTTCTGTGTACTTTCATATATCCAACTACAATAACTTGCAGAATAAGACTAGATGTACAAAGAGATCTACATGGAAAAATATTTCAATAAAAGATACAAGCCAAGTCATCCTTGACATGCCAATAGAATCCTAAAGAAAAAGTTCTCTTCAATAAAACTTCTCAAAGCAACAAGCATCATTAGGGTTGACCCAACTTTCCCAATGAGGTAAGTAGTTCAAGGAATCAATCATATAAAAGCAGTTGCAATGAGTGAACCATTTTTAGGTAAATAGTTCAATTTCCCAGCTATTCACTGGATTTTATTCTTCAATTGAGGTTCCTTTTCTCTGGAAAATTTTCGAGTACAGGTATGAGCCAAATTCAATCTACCATGATTAAAGCCATCCCCTTCATGAATTTTAGTATTCATGACTTTACGAATTTCAGTAATGGAGATATGCAACGTCCATTAACCAGCAGTAGGTGATGAGGAAAAAAAAAAACTGTTTATTAACAATGGATCAAAATCATATGCTTATATCAGTTGACTCTAACGAAACGACAGTACGAAGATCAAACTAGCAAAATCTGCCTCCTGGTCGACAGAGACAAATAAAAAAGTTGGGCTGCATAAGTTTGCAGAGATTTTGTTCTGATGAATCCCAAGTCAAAAGCCTAACTAAAATATTAATTCCATTCCTTTTCCCACCTTTTTCTTGGCAACCAAACAAACATTAAGTTCAAAATTTTAATTGCAACCTACGTCACTAGCCCCTTCAATCTCAATTCAGTGACTTTCATCTGACATAATTCCAACCACAGATCTTGTTTCTTCCAATTTAATAAAGAAGGACATTTCAATCATGGACAGCAATGAGCAACTATAAGCACAGCACAACAAACAACAAATCAAACAAGTATAAGAATCACTTAACGAAACCCATTTTGACTAACGCAATTAAGCAACAACCCACCAATTTAAGTTCTTCAATACAACTCCAACCTAAGCCCCTCCCGCCCCCGGGATCGAAAATCCTTTCTTCCCACATCATCTCTAATAAGAAGAAACAAATAAATTTTTTCTACTTTTACTTACCTGTTGACTACCTTTGCAATTCAATCCACACCCACACTGAGGTGACTCTTCAAAGTTATCAATAGGGAAATCAGCACCAGCTATCCCCACAGAGAATTGCAAATGATCCCCACTCCTGGAGACCTCAACTATGTCAACCCAGAAGAAAAGCAGCTTCACGCTAACACCCTCCAGACTGGAAAGCTTCCCCTTGGATATAACCCCTTTAATGGTGGACTTATATTTCAACTGATAGGAGCCTTCGAGCGAGAAGCTGCAACTTCCGTTAAAGTAAGCAGAGAATTTCCCGGTAGCAGAGTCGAGATCATAGTCAATTACTCCTTTAGGAAGAATACCCACAGGAAAATTATAGTCTCCAAGGACTTCGTATGCCGATGGCCTCTCGTCGCCATTGGAGGACTGCACGAAAGAAGGTCCAGCTACGAACATTGCGACGACGATGAGACATGACAGAATAGCTGGGGGAAACATGGATGTTCCTGGAAATTTTGAAATCATCGCTCTCTCTCTCTCTGTGCCTTCTCTTTTTCAATTTGTACGTGGATCTGTAATCTTTGTCTGGGCTTATGAATCAACGAGACGTGTTCGATTGTTTTTTCTGCAGAATTGACGAAGAGAGCTGAAATTGTAGAAGAGGCATGGAAGAAGACGCGTGTAATTTCTCATTTCACCAAACGTCGTCGTTCCAAAAAGAGTGGGCCTCTGCTTGCCACGTGTCATAAGCTGTGTTGTGTTAGTTGGGTGCTAGTTAGTTTCGGGCTGGACGCGACTGTGGGTTGACTAGTTGGATTAAGTTAGGACATGTAATAAATGATAATTAATTAATATATAATATTTTACAACCTTAATAAAATTCTATTTATTTTAACTTTTAATCTAATGAGTTAGTCGACCGATAAATTTAAAATAAATTTTAAAAATTATATATATAATAAATTTATTTATTTATTTTTTTTCGTTATATCATCATAAAATATGTTTAATTTTCGTTATACCATTCTAAACAAACACCATATTTCTCTTCTCCTTTCCCACATAGAAAATTATCTTTTCTTCATTTTTTTCCCTAAATAAATAATTTTAAATTTAATATAATAATATATAATTACAATTATTTATTTTTAATATATAAATAATTTTAATTTTATTAAAATTAAATTAATATGATAATATAAATAATAATTATTTTATTTTATTAAATACAAAAAATTAATTTAATTATATTTTTTTATTATATATTATTTATTATTACATATAATAAAGTATGAATAAATTAATTACCACGTTATCGTTCAATCGCTGTCACTGTCATATATTAATTACCAATCACTAATATTTATCGAAACAGAAAATCAGAAGATCCGTATAATTATAATTTAGATAAAATTAAATAATATATTAATAATTAAGCAATGACTTATTATTAATTATATAAAATTATACGGAAATAAAGAAATTTAAAATAAATATATAAAATAATTACGCATTAAATTTTGTCTAAGCTTTCTGTAGAATTTGATGTGAGAAGAGGCTGGTGTGGCTGTCCCAATCCACCCATCAAATTACGATTTGGTATTTTCTTGGATGGCTTAGGCTTCCAATACATTGCGTAGAGCACCATTTGAGCCGTACCAAGAAAAAACCCTATTCCATTTGGTATCTATAGGAGAAAACATCAATATTATATAAATATAAATATATATATATATATATATATATACATACACAAGTACCAACATATATATATGTATGTATATGTATACGTACTTACTCCGATAAACCAGTCTAGTGTAAGCACAGCATAGGTTGTCCAAACTCCTCCATTAACAAAAAGAAAGAAGGACAGAAAAAATGGCATGTACTCCACACTCTTCGTTGTCACCACAGTTTTCTGCATTTATTTACATGTATACGTACATTACTTATTATGTACATATACACACACACCCAAAGAAATATCCACTCTTTATAGTGTATATATATATATACAGACACACACACACATATAATAACAATTGTTAGATTTTCCAAACTAGAGATGAACTGGCAGATCTTTAAATTCTTTTAAAATCTGTATAAAAAACGATGAAAACAAGATTTAAGATCAAATATCAATCATACACCATGATATTATAGTATATATATATGTGTGTGTGTGTGTGTGTATGCATACGTATAATACGTGAAGAACATAAATATGAACATTACAACAGTTGAGCAATTAGGTTAAGTTAATTAATAATTACCATGGCTGAAAGAGGTGAACCATAACACACCATACTGAAAGCGACACACATTAATCCTGAAGCATCAATCCTTGTCTTCCCATCAAACAAGAATTGCATAATCAAGAAAGCAATTCCCGGGAACACCACATCCAGAGTGCCCACCAATATAGCTGTATTAGCCTATACATACACGCATAACACATCAATATAATCAACCACATAGTAACTCAAATTACCAAAAGTTCAAAAAAAAAAAAAAAAGATTACCCTGATTCTAGGGGGTGCAAAAGTTAGGAAGATGATGACAAAAATAATCTCACAGACAGCACCGAAGCCATTGACGGTGGCTACAAGCACACTGTTTGGCTTGATAATTCCATAATAAACCCACTGATAAGCATTCAGTAGCTTGCAGATGTAAGGAAGGCTCTCAAATTCTTCTGTAGATCTACGCACCACTATATGCCAAAACGTTTTCCTGGGAAACAAACAGAATTATACTTCAAAATTTTTCATGGAAAAATATATTATCTGTAAATAGAAAAGCTTAAACTTGGTATCTGTGTGGATATATATCTTACGCAGGAGAGAGGTAGACAAGACCCGTGGTTATATTACCTGCAAGTGAAAGAAATACATATAAGCTTAAAGAAAAGATTCTAGCTCTCTGTGTACATGTCTGTATAGATATATATGGGAAGAGTATATGCAGATCGGAGAAGAAAAAGTAGTACGAGCAATTACCGAGAATTCCAAAGAAGATAACCAGGGTTATTCCCATGCTGAGAAAGACAAAATAGAGAGAGAGAGAGTTCAAGCTTGTAAAATTAAAGCAAACTGCCAAAGGAATATAAGGTTGATGATGATGATGATTTTTCCCAGTAGCATATATAA